TTTTTTTTTTTTTTTTTTTTTTTTTTTTTTTTTTTTTTTTTTTTTTTTTATGTTAAAAGGTTTCTCATCTGTAATCCTTATTTAACAAGGTTATTTCCTTTCTGTCGCGACTCTAGGATCATAGTGATCGAGTATACTTTATGAAACAAACAGTTGGCAATGCCTGTGGAACTATTGGACTTCTTCATGCCATAGGGAACGTTACTTCAGAGATCAAGCTTTGTAAGTACTGTGATACTATCCAGTTTAATGTGGTGAAATATATTTCTTAATTGTAGTGAATATTAACACAGTTACCCAGATCAGATTGGGTAACATTATTATCCTCTCCCTTTTTCTCAGAGGCCTTTATCTTGTTCTTTTGTCGTATGTGCACTTGTAGAGTAAAGCATTGTTGACTAAGATGAGAAGAAAGCTATTTATATTCGAAGTTAAGCAGAGCACAAATTAAATATGAAAGTGAAACTAAGAGTTATTTATCCTGCTCATTCATATGTCTGATTTGGTTACCTTGTCCAGGTTTACCACAGTGGTTTAAGTATCCAACTTCAGTCCTGTGACTGGCCATTCTCATTTTTCTATAATTTGGTTGAAGTTTTATTAGTGTCTCTACTCGCCTGCTTGTTCCGGGATTCCGCAGTGATTATTTCGATTTTGCTATCATATTATTTTAGTTCTCTTACATTTTTTTTTTCAACTCCTGTGCTGTCTTTACGTTTCAAGCCGAGGGATCATTCTTGGATAGGTTCTACAAGTCTACCAGAAGCATGGATCCAATGGAGGTTCGTTCTTTTTACTATATCTGCTTCCTCTTCTCACTCCCCTCCTCCCTTCCCACCCATCACCAAAAAAAATTCAATAGAGCAAAGGGCAGATATACCTTGAAAGTGGAGGAAGAAAATATAATAATTCTCTGCCCTTTACCCAAGAATACTTTTCCGTTTTGCATCTAATAGTCCTATGCTGTTCACTTTGGTAGCGTGCAGTATTTCTCGAGAAAGACAGAGAAATGGAAGATGCACATTCAGTAGCAGCTACTGCTGGAGAAACGGCTGTAAGACTCTTTTAAAATTAACTGAATTATGGTGGAGAATAAGAAGTTTTCGTGTTTTCTTTGAGCATACTAAGAATAGATAGATATACCTTCTTGAGGCTGCCTACAGCATGCAGAAATGAAGCTTCGGCACTTGATTTTCCTTTTCCAGATAAAGCTTTGATAGCTATCCTCTGCATTAGGAATTTCAATTATCTACTTTCAGGGGTAAAAAGACCTGCTTTTTTTGTGACTACAGAAAGAAATGATGTTTCTGCATTTTATGGGTATTTACCTATTTACAAGGGGAGCTGAATTTCCTACAAACGTCATGATTACCTATTTACCTTTGCAACGAAACCTAGAATTTAACAATTAAAATTGTAGATGATCAGTGAAAATGGATACATTTTTCAATAGTCGAAGACCTAACAACATAGGGGTTGGTTGTATAATGGAGGAACTGAAGATTTGAAGCTTTGGACAAAGTTTAAAAAATGAGGTACTGAATATGGAGAGATTTCTTAAGAAATGTTGCATAATTTTTATAAAGCTAGTTTTATTTGCATGAAGGCGGGTATGAACTTTCAGCCCTTTTGCTGCATGTCTCTTAATTTACAGAATGAACATTGAAAACCAGAAAATCTGTC